CGGCGGCTCCGGGCACGATCCCGGGTTGGGTGAAGGGAGAAGCACAGCTCACCCTGCTCTTTTCTTCCCAATTTTTTTAATTAGACTGACTCCCGAGGAAGCAATGGGGTCTGTGACCGGACCGGGCGCCTCTACCTGTATCACTACAACGAGGAACAACCTTACATCCCGCTGAGCGAAATCCAGAGGATTGACACTGCTGCCATCCTGGACATTAAATGGTAATGCTGGTCGCGGGGTCAGCCCCTCTGGGGTCCTGTTTTTGGCTGTTGGTGTGGCAGCAGCAATAATATTTACTAATTAAACTGTCCCTGGCTTCTTGGAGGGAAGTGTTTTCCAGTTTGCTTCAGGGAGCAAAAGCTGTGCCTGTTTCTGTTATGTTCTTCTTCTTGTTTATGAACAGCCAGTTGGTGACTGTGGACCTCTTTGGTTTATATATTAATATACAGTAGATTTCCCCTATATGTAATTCCCTCCATGCAGGTTTGTGGGAATTTGAGGAACCTTAAATTTTCTTCATGACTTTTTTTTTTTTTTGGTCAAGTACTTTCTCCTTGTACAGCCCGGAATAAAAGTTATGACTTTGCTCTCCTGCTTAAATACAAGAAAGATGGACATTGAAGACATGTTGAACTTCATCTTTCAGGTGCCACGTTCCTGTTGCAGAACATCCCATGATTGGCATCGCAAACTCAACAGGCGCTGTGGAGTTTTGCCACCTGACTGGAAGCGAGGTGGGTGGCTGTAACTGGAACTGTGTTTAACCCAGATTTAATCCATCTCTGGATTTATTATCAGTGTTTAGAGACTTGTAGGAAAGCTGTAGGGTTTCCATGGCTTCCTCGGTATGCTTAACTTTTTAAATACTTTGTCTTTTGTCTTCTGCTAATGTTTCTCATCAATCCCACGAATTTGTTCACGGCACCAGGGAGATTGGCTGGGCTCTACCCACTTGTAGAGTTTGGGGGATGAGAGGCATGAGGGGAGCAGAAGCAAACCTGGAAACCATCACTTGAGAGTACGGACTAGCTGGTAAACACAGCAGAAGGTGGAAAGTTGTTAAAAACAGGGCAGAATTTTGGAGAGGGGTGTCTGAGAAGGGAGTGGAGTGATCAAGAGCCATTCCCACAGAGCGAGGAAAGTGGAAGCCAGTCTGCGAGGTAATCCAGCAGTCAGGTCATCGCTTCTGCGCTTCATCACTCACTGAGAGGACGCAAAGTTTGATGTGGATTTGGTGGAAGATGGGAAGCAGAAGGGTGGGGATCCTGCGTAGGAATATGTTTGCCCTTCAGTTAGTACTAAACCATTGTTTGTTGCTGTGGGACGTTTCATCTCTTCTCTAGTGTGGGATCCCAATATGCTCATCGGTCTCTGGAAAAGACTTGCTGTGGGAGGGAGCAGTACCCGTGGTGTTGTGTATCTGCTGCCTTCCCAGTTTAACCAGTTCCTTTTCTTTCCAGTAGAAGAACAGCTGCATGTTGGAGCCATGCTTCAGGGTCGAGCTCGGTGCGCAGTGTCTGGCCTTGTCTTTAGACTGGTCCACAGGACGAGAGCAATGGTGAGGATGGGAGATGGAGGCTGGTATTGGAGGTCGCTCTCTGTGTGTGTGTGACAGTTTTTAGCCATAAGTTGAGGACTTTGATGAATGAACCTTTGGTAACTTTTTTGTGAAGTGGTTTAAGACTTTCTTGGTCCCAGCTGTCTCCCTGCAGCTTCTCTAGAAGTTACTATTTCCAGAGCAAGGGTAACAAAGGAACAAGAACACGTACTGTGGCCACTGCAACAGAGACTAAACCAAGAACAAACATGAGGTTGTGCTATGGTGAATGGTGGCAGGTGAGCCGGGGACATGTCTTCTGTTGCCTTTGCTAAAAGGAAAGACCAGAATGGGATGCAGATGGATCCACTGGTTCCAACTCTGCTCTTAGAACAGCTGAAATTTTAGTGTGAAGTTCTGCTTAAGAACGGCTGAAATAGGATGTGCAGGAAGTTTAAATGTGAGTTAGTGAGAAACTGGAGAGAATTGGTTTGGAAACGGCTCCTTCCTCTCTCAAATGCTCATACACTTGATTTCAGCAACGACATCGCTGAATGAAATAACCTGAATTAGCTGTAGCTTGAAAGAGGTAAGTCAAGTACAAAACAGAGAGTGGTGCCTTTGGTGTGAGGCTGGGAACTGAAGGGATCAGGCAGTTGCATGCTTAATGCTGTAGGGCAAATATTTAGTAGCTTTTGCTAATTAAAGCTGTTCCTCTGCCTGCTGTTTAATGAATAGGAATTCCCAGTTCTCCTTTCTCCTTCCTTACATTCCTCCTTCCCCTTCTCTCTGCTTTTCAAGATCATTGCCATGATGAAAAGTCCCTTGAAAGCCTGTCACTGTTGTCACTTGAGAGACAAATAACCCCTCCTAGAAGCCAAATGTGCAGAGTTTACATCTCTGTAAGGAAGGGGGTGACCCCATCTCTCCTGTGTGGAAATTTGGGAGATTCAGTGTGATTTAGTAACCAGGATACAGTGTAGAGATAGAAAGAAGCCCTGGGCTACCAGATCAGTACCCACAGTTGCAGGTAACCAAACAAGGTCCCTAGTTCATGTCAGGGAATGTCAGAAAATCTGTGAGCTGCAAAACTTTTGCTTGAGCTCCAAGAACATTGTGTCCAGAAACTGCAGCTGTCCTGTGGCACAGGAAGAGTGACGCAGGAGAGGTTGGGATCAGCCAGCGCTTCAGATGTCTGCGATAGCCGGGAAATAAAACGTTTCTTTGTCCTCCAGAAGAGTGAAGAGACTCTGAGAGGCCCTTGTCAGTCTGACTTGGAGGGAAAAAACCCAAGAAATCAATCCCTCTTCACATGGGATTTGTTTATTGATGTGATATCAAGTGTGTGCAGAGTCAAATTATGCATCGAGGAGAAGGACAGACCTAGGGCTGGTTTTCTGTCCCTTGTGTGAGTGTGAGGGTCTGCTCTGCCTGTGAGATCAGGGAAAGTGGATCATCCATGTGGGTGATTTTAGGTTGGGAAGGGCTGAAGCTAAAGAGAGTTGTATAAATCACAGAATCACAGAATGTTGGGGATTGGAAGGGACCTCGAAAGATCATCCAGTCCAACCCCCCTGCCAGAGCAGGAACCTCAATGAGATCACACAGGAAGGTGTCCAGGTGGGTCTTGAATGTCACTGAGAAGAGCCTGGCTCCATCCTCCTGACATTTGCCCTGGACATATTTATAAACATTAATGAGGTCACCCCTC